AACCCAGCACTCAGACTGACACGGGGTCATGACACACTACTGAATCTTGGGTGTAACTGTACTGTCAGCTTCCAAAGGACTATCATTCCTAGGGCTGGCCAAAGCTACCCAGTGATACCCTTGTGCTCTTCAAAACTAACAAGTCCCCTACCAGCTGCTTTCCATGGGAACCTTAAACCAAAAATCAGACACAAGCAAAACCAGCAAGCTCCCTCGGCCGCCGCACCGGGTAAAGGAGAGCTGAACATGAAGTACCAGAGCAGCGGAAGCAATGCTGAGGAATGACAGCCTTGTGCTCAGCCCATCGAAATAAGAAACTGAGTCTTGTGTTCCTCCAGCTGCAGCTCCAAACTGAGGAACTTCCAAAAGTTCAGCCATATTTGCTAAGAGGACAAAGCACTAGCACTTGAGGCAGAAATGCCTTGCTTCCAGCTCTCCTAATGGTACATGTGGGCTTTCTCACAAGGGTTTGTCTCACCTGCTGAACGTGCCTCACCTACTGTTAGCTTACTGCTGCAGGGAAAGGGAAACAACATGAAACCGAGTAAGCCAGTAACATGATTTAAACAGCAAAAGCAAGACTCCGAGGCTGACGCAAAAATCTATTGCAAGGGAACAGCACAGAAGAGACACCTTGACTCAAGCTCTCGAGCAAGTCTACTTCAAGTTACCACACATCCCGTCACAGCGAAGGTAGTGCTGTTGTCTATACCTTGCCAGTAACTAACTACATTTTGGGGCATTACAATACATCTGAGATGGATGTGCGTTTTTTACCTACCTTCTCCATTTCTGTTACGATCACCTTCCTGTTATCCCAGTTATTGGCCTCCCTGCCTAGGGCAAGAACAACAACTACACAATCACTAACCATGATCAGGCAGTTTATAAACACTACACCAGTCCAGAGCAGTTCTGACGGTTAAGGTATAACTACAGAGTAAATATGAACTGTACTCTTTCAGCATCAGGAAGAGAGATCTCAAGAGATGATAATGCATCTGGGAAAAGGAAGAGTGGAGAAAACCAAACAAATCTCTACAGAGAGATCTGAATAAGATATTTTGTTTTTTCTTTGTTCCCTTTAATTCAGACTACCAATTTCAGGAGCAAAAATCCGTCAGGAGGTTACAGATACGCAAAGCTCTACTTTTTAAATATACGTAACATTTATTTGGCCACTCACTAAAACACTGGACAAGTCTTCAGAACCTTTGTATTTTTAAGCGTGCAGCTCAAGGACTTCATATAGAACATCAGGAAAAGATATCTTCCAAGCAGTTTCAGAAATAAATTCCCTGCGAAACAAACCAATATTAGAAAGCAGTATAGAAAACAAAGAAGTATTAGCTAGAGACAGGATAATTACAAGAAATCATTGTCTTGTCTTCCGTAGTAATAAAACCCGACAGTTCCCTCACTAAAAGCCCACGGGTTCAACATTAAGTCCAAGCCAGGGCATAAATCCAGCTAGCATGTGCGACTAGCACCGTTTTGTATCATCCTCAGATATCTGAGTTTTCACTTGAGGTATTAAAAAGTGTTTCTAACTGTTCTGGTAGCCAAGGGAACATCAAGAACATGGGCTAGGCAACTCATTCAATATTTAAGAAACACATGCAGCCCTCGCTGTCACATCTAAGCATTTCATTCCTTGTCTCATCATCTCAGGGCAGCTCCTCTGGGGAAGACGAGACTGAATCACAAAGATGCAGAAATACAGCCACTTCTGGTGCTGCTGACCACTGTAATGAGGCCTTGCTAACGTATTTTTTAAAAAAAATATATATATAACCTGCAGGTTATACATAAAAGAAGACACTGATGCATCATGAGCAGCACTGCTGGCAACAAATGCATGCAGGTAATTAAAGGCCTCCTTCTCCCAGAGGAAGACCTGTCCCATCTCCTTACCCTGCTGTGGAAACACCCCTCCCTCCATGCAGTGTGGCATCCATCCCGACCAGGCGTGTCCCTCCCATCCCGAACCACCCACTGCTAGCTCGCAACTCCCTTTTCCCAAAGTCCCTCCAGGTGGGCCACTTCGGCACATGACCCAGCCCCCATCAGATGCAGGGGCCCAAGAGGTGGCACAGAAGCAAGGGGGAGTGTCCTGGGGAGACGGAGCTGGGGCAGCCCCTGCATCCAGCCAACATTCACGTCTTCTTCACTCAAGCATGCAATTACATACTCTGTTTTCACAGGTATAACCTACTGATTGTCCGAGAACTTGCATAGGAGGACCTGGACACCTGTAAGACTACTGCATTGTGGCAGTAAAGACAAAGTAATATGAAAGTTACTACCTCACAGAAACTTTCGGTCCCGATAATAAGGATTTTGAAACTCCCAGGCTGTGGGAGGGGATGCTCAAACTGAGCAGAGAGCCATCCAAGGTCACCAGGAGCCAGATGCAGGGGCAACCCTTAAGCACCTTTCCGCAAACACCTGCAGCTAAGAGCAAGAAAATACCACTGTCCAGAAAGAGTTGATGGCCAAGGACTTTGCTATGTGTATTAGACTCCTAATCCCACTAGGCTTATAAATCCACTGCACAGATACATCAGGGCCACCCCACGCCAGTTAGCAACAGAGCAGCGAGTATGGGTTTTTTCTGTATAAGGAAGATCCCAATTCACTTTCCCAAATCTTTTCACAAAGATTCACAGTTTCTGCATCTCCTGGCAGGTTGCAGAAGACCCTCTTTGTATAAATGGATTTTCGCAGAAGTAGAGAGAGCCTGCCTTCATAATTCTAGCTCTTCACTGAAACTTTCTTCAAGCCATTACTCCCATCTCCACTTTCTTTGGGTTTCAACCCAACTTCCACTTGTTCCAGAACTGAGGGTCCTAATGAAGTGGAAACAATCCCTTCTCCTTTCATCTCCAGGTCTCACAGAGTCTTGCCCAGGACACAGTCAGACTCCACGCAAAGGTAGCCACGTCTGTCCTTGTGAAACCCAGAACGATTGGTCCGGCTGAAGTGAACGGCTCCGTTCGCGGAGCGTTAGCTCGGGCGGGATTTCAGCACGAACACCGTCACAGTGACCACGTCGCTGCTCAACAGCAAGCGTGAAAAAAGCCTTTTTGTGAGCCGCCCGTACCATTCTCCGAAGACAGACCTTACTGCTG